GCATGGATGAAGCCCCTGGAGGCATGTCTTCGACGTAAATGGGTCGACCACTTGAGAGCCGAAATCGACGGCTCGAAAATGTCGGACGAACCCTTCAAGCTACGTGCGCCGGATCGCTTCGAGCTTGTCGAATGGGTCAACGACGCGTGGGACAGCATCGCTAGACGAACCATCATCAGCGGGTTTGAAAAATGCCACGTCATCCAGAATGCCAACCAAGAGACCCAAGGCGTCCACCACCGCAACGGCATCGACTTCCAAGACGACGAAACATTGGACAGCTCCAACCACGACGACGTCACTGCAGCGGCCAGTGTTCTTGAATCGCTCCTACAAATGGATGTTGTCAACGTCGAAATCTTGCCATTGGCCGATTAACAAGAGGAACTCGCCTTGTCCGACTTGGACGCAAGCCTTGTGGACGGCCAGACGTCAAAGCCATAGTCGCTTTCTAAAGCAAAGACAGGTCAATGGTATTGAAAGTTTGTTTTGCATTCGTACCGTCGAGCGCCGTGGGAACCAAGTGACCAAATACATACAGGTGGCGCCGGTATCCGGGACAGCACAACAATGGGCTAAGCCGAAGCGGTCCCATGTCTACTATCCGCGGCCCTTTTGACACACACCCAGCAAATGATGCACTGGCAGAGATGACTGTGGTGCGAGACCCTCGACTGGCGGTAGTTGGAGGAATAGGAGTTGGTCCGATATTCCGGATACACTATCCGGGTGCTTGTGTTCGATGCATTGGACTTTGTAAAATGAATGGACTTGGCTAGTAGGAATAGATTTTTGACAGGACAAGACATTAAACGGGCCATTGTGTTAGAATGACCTGTCAAAGCTATAGGCCTTCAAGAAACAATGTCCTGTCAATATGCTTGGTGTGATCGGCTCCATTTCAATGTGTAGACTAGAGAAAATATCTTTCAAACACTATACACTGTTAAAATAAATTGCTTTCGGTTATTTAAAGTCGTGGGGTTTGGACATTCTGGCAGTTGGACTGTCACATTCTTTTCCGATCTGACAAATCAACTAAAATAGTACAATGCACAGTACTGTATCTATACTATGTAGAAAAAGAGATCCTTGACGACTTTTCCTAAATCGTGAAAAAAAATAGGTATATCGATTTTGATTGACTCATGCTATTTCTGAAAACTACTTGGAACTTCCCCTTACTGCATATTCAGCTGCACATATCTTGAAGGATTATTATTACGTATTTCGGACGTTACTTCACCTGAATAGCATATCCAATGCACTGTACATATACTTGGTAGCATTCAATTGCACATATTTTAAAGGATTATTAAGACGTATTTTTAATTTTACTTCACTTGATTAACATACACAATGTATACAGAACTGTTCGTATACAGTATTATGCACTGTATAATCAACTGGAAATATCTTAAATATTATTACGACATATGTTGAATGATACGTAGTTTTCTTTAGTCCAAGCTCTTTAGTTAGATTTAGACAGAAGGGAATTAAAATGTTTAGTCAAAGCTCTTTAGTAGATTTAGATAGAAGGGAATTAAAATGATTGGAATTGAAGTAATAAAATTGTAAAGACGACCACTCCAAACAGTGATCATTGATATACCGATATATAGATTTTATTGAAGTATTGGAAATGCTTCGAGCAAACGATACAAATATCTATTTATAAAAGCAAATAAGTATCATACGTTGAAAGTACCTCTGAATAAGGTTGAAATTCTATAACAAAATTCCCCGAATAATATCAACTAACCAAGGGTTTCATTGCTTCGGTAAGTAGTTTTATCCAATCATATCAATTTTGTCATCCTATTGGGCAAGACGTTCTGGAAATCATTGATTGTTTACGCTATCACCGAATGGGCCACTGAATGTATATATATATACCTTTGTACACTAGTATGGACAATACTCCTATAAATCAGATATGGCTTGATATAATTATGCGGAAACGCAGTGAAAATCAATCATCATAGTACTTCTTTGATGTACTATTAATACCTACTAAGCAGTGGTACTAAGTAGTAGAACTACGTAGTAGTTGTACGGTACTATTAACTGTTAATAGTAGTACTAATACTGTATTACTATTATTACTGTAGTAGTACCTTGTACTGTACTGTAGTAAGTACAGTGTCAAATATCGTCCTTTACAGTGCCAGGTACTGTTCTCTACTACAAAGTACTGTACTGTAGTACAACGTAGTATACGTATCGTAATCATTAACTGTATGCTTACTCTAATCAAAGAAATTCCTTCTACTACTCCTAGTAGTACTCGAAAAAGTACTGGCATCATGCTCTCATCGGATGTACCAGTCCTTCCTTTGAATGCGAGGTTAACTGAAAATTACTCCATTCTGTGCGTCCGTGGACTACGTACTTCACTTGATTAGCATATACTAGTACAATCTACTGTACGTACAATGCTATGTTCGCAGTCTCCTCTGCGTTGGGGTGAAGATTTCGGGCGATCAAGTTTTTGTTGTTGATGTCGATGTTGTTGTGTATTTACATTAATCAAATGAAGTAACATTCAAAATGACTAGTATCCACAGTCAGTACATACTGTAGTATATGTGCTCGTAAGTATATGTTACGTAAGTACTAGTATACTTTAATCTAGTGCAGTGCTAGTAACATTTAAATCAGGATACTCTGCCATACAAAATCGATAGTAGGATTTGGCCATACTACAAAGTAGTGCGCACTAAGCATCACAGATAATTGGACGATTCACAGGGAGACTGC